TACATTTAGGGAATGGTACATGGTGCTGGCAGACACTAGTCCACATTTCAAAGGTTTATTATATTTAGGGAATGGTCATGATGCTGGCAGACACTAGTCGACATTTTAAAGGTTTATTATATTTAAAGAATGGTACATGGTACTGGCAGACACTAGTCGACATTTTAAAGGTTTATTATAATTAAAGAATGGTACATGATGCTGGCAGACACTAGTCCACATTTTAAAGGTTCATTATATTTAGGGAATGGCATATGATGCTGGCAGACACTAGTCCACATTTTAAAGGTTCATTATATTTAGGGAATGGTACATGGTGCTGCAGACACTAGTCCACATTTCAAAGGTTTATTATATTTAGGGAATGGCATATGATGCTGGCAGACACTAGTCCACATTTCAAAGGTTTAATAAAAGTATCACATGTGACATGGTTTATTTCAGTACAAACTTTAAAATTTCCTTATGAATGTTATTCAAAATTGACAAACTTCACTTTAAACTGAAAGCATCAGACACAGTTCATGGTCGTAACATATTCTAATCCAGTTGTCCAAATTGAACAGTTCCTCCATCTTCAAAGGCTTGTCAGGAATGGAAGACAACTGGAGATAACTCTTCAACAGCTCATTAGGAAAGTGATGCTCAAAGTTGGCAGATCACACTCTACACTCAGTGATCAATGAAGTCAGACTATTCAACAGTTCAAAATCTAATTAAGAAAGTGATTAGATGTCAGTGGTTAACACAAATAACCAATTTCCTATGAGCAATAAATATTGTTTTCTTCAATAAACAAGATATTTATACACACAGATTGTACATCACACCAACTGATCAGACATGCAAGTATACACTTGGTTTTATTTACCATCTACTCAGCTCAGAGGGACCACAATGCCAGGGAAGATGACTACTAACTAGGCACCAATGTAATGAATAAAGTTTTAAGAAACATACTCTTGACAAGAGCATGAACTAGCATTTTCTGGCCATTGCTCTACAAAGTCTCACTGTGACCACTATAATACCATTATTCAATCGTGGGTTAAACTTGAACCCAGAATGCAATTCAACACAGCACAATGTGATACCATCAACACACAACACATTCAGGTTGCCAACACAATCATAGAACCAAATGTAACAATTTCTAGAATAACTTTACCAGCATCTTATATATAAGAACCATGGAGTCTGTCCGAGTGTTCGTCTGTCTCCTGTTTGAAAAGCTAAGCATACAAGCAAAGCTCAACATTCACTTTTGAAATGATGGAAGAACAATCATGAATAACATTGATGCCAAATTTTATTTCACAAGCAAGATATTCAACACTAAATTGTTTGGAATTAATCACACTATCTTTCACATTTGAAAATGTAAGGTAACTTAAAGAATAAAAATGTAGATTTACTGTATGTTATTCTTGAGCAGCTCTAAGCATGACTGAAATGTTCAATGTTTTTTGCGGTGGGTGGTATAAGTAGTTCAAAGCTTTGGCTCTGAGTGAAACCAAGAGTGCAACACAACTAATATTTTTAAAGTCCATGAAATAATTTAAATTGATAGATTAATGGTACTTTTCCTAGCTTAACTATTTCAACCCTGGCTCAGTCCCTGGGACTGACCTTTTAACCATTTTGTGCTTGTTATAGTTTTCATGCTATAACTTTTAAATCAGTAAGCAAATATTAACGAAATT